TCAGAGTGGGTTCACTCGCAATTAAATATCCGAGAATCATTAGCTTTTATCTCGTGTTTCATTCCTATGGATCAATTGACCGGCATCGAATCGGCGTATGCGAGTTTCCTGCATTATTTCCGAATATTTCCCTTAATAATTCACATTTATCGAAATGGAGACCGAAAGCGAATGATCCCGGCCCCGGTGATTTAATTTATTTGATGCGCGCCTCTGTGGAATCGAAACGCGATATTTCATCGCGATGTATATCACGTTGAAATACGTGTTAACAAAAATAAAATCATTCCTAGAGGGGAACAATTTGACGTTCAATTACGACCCGTGCTCTGGTGCGGCTCGTATCACTCCGGTAGAAATTCAATTGACCGATCACGAGTCCCGCGTCCCATCCTTGTTAAATTTTCAATTAAATCCCCCTCGAATTTCGGAGACTAATTTGAATAAGAGCGGAATAATCGGATTCACGCAGAAAATCACCGACATATACCTTGCGGGAGCCAATTAAGCCTCTCTCGTCCCCAGACGGGTCGGATTCCCGTCAAAAGTCAGCCAAATTTGAAATCACTTCCACATTCCTGCTTCGCAATTGCTTCTCTCCATTTTACCTAAACTTTCCCTCTGTCGCACTTCCAACCAAGTCACGAATTTATTCCAGCAACGGACGCGCAACTAATTTAAAATTACAATAAAAGAAAGAGTAACTTAAAAACTGTAATCTCGCCGCACGTTTATAAATGATAAAAAAAAACGTCTCATTGAGATTTTCACGAAATATTACAGGAACACCTCCAAATGAAAACTACAAGACATCTAGAAAAAAAATCAGTCGCTTGAGATATTCAGAGAGGACTACAAAGGGAAAGTATCTAGAAAATATTCCATGCTACTGGGGGGGAAATCCCCCAGAAAGTGCGCCCGAAGATATGAATTTTTCTCCCAGGGAAATCCGGGTGGCCTGAATTTCAATAAGTCTGGAATGTATCCGGCTGACCCAAATTCGTCTTGCTTCTCTCGAGTGCGAGTATTACACATCAGAGATTCAGACTACTCACCCGAATTAAAATAATCGCCGCAGAGGTGGCCAGAGAGCGCGAAACTTTTCACGTCTCTCTGGGATTCCTTCGCAAAGTCGATTTCCCTCCGAGCCTTCCGCGCGGTACAGAAATTTCCGTGGATCGCCAATTGATAGGATCGACGCACGGGATCGAATGTTAAAGTCCTCGAGGAGAGCAGAGGGTTCTCGGATGCTCAGTTCGCGTCGAATGCCGGCCGTGTACTGTCCCGGCTCGATGCTTCGGCAGAGCGGTCTCATATGTTGACCCCCTTCTATAATTCTCCTGACTCCCGGACTCGTGCCCGAAGCACTTCTAACCTGCACAAATATTTCATTAAAAATACACGAAGCGTGTTACCAATAAGAACCCTAAGGCGATATGAAAGGATCATTAAATATATATATATATACATAAAGCGTTAAAATATTTTTCAAGCATTTCTACTGGACTTCTGCTGCACCGAATCACTTGAAACTTCGGCAGATGATTATGAACACCCTAAGTAAGAACGCGATGCGCGTGAAATCATCTAATTTTTCAAGGATCGTTTTTCTTTTTTTATTTAGCCTAGACTAGACCCAAGATCACGTTTCTTTTTGTTAAAATTGAAATTTCTAGCATCGCGTTCTGGGTTCACAGTTCCGGATCATTCGCGGTAATCCCGCCAGGGGCGCTGGCGTCGCAGTTCCTCAGCGAAGCCGGGAAGACCTTTGAATCTCGGGGAAAACCTTAAGATTCACGACGAAATTATTCACGAGAGGTGGAGAAACCATGGCTATGGACTTAGGCTTCGTAAATTATGTAATCCCTGCGGGGTATGCGAACAGCGCATGTGATATCCTGATTCCGGTGATGGTTAATGGGCCCTCAATCTCGATTGAAAAAGGTAAGGAAAAAAACAGCAAAATGTACCGCCTGCCTTCTTAGAGCATGAAACCGTAGCAGTTTAGTTTCGAGGGCCCAAGCGCACGCTTTTGCGCATGCGCGATAGTCCGCAACTGCTGGGAAGCGCTAAATTTTAATACGATTTATCTGGACGCGAACGTCGTTCCGAAGTTTCGAGAAAAAGGATTCCAGGATTCCATCGACCCCCGGGGAAGGGCACTGGAGCGCGTCGAGCCGTACCGGGACTCCGGGTCGGGATTGCATCTAGCTCGTTTCCCGGATCGTAGGACGCAGTGACGTAGAAGAGGAGCGGTCGAGCTCGGCGTGTCCGGTCGCCCTCGGGGCGTCTCCGAGAGTCTTCGGATCTTTCCGGAAGGCTTCGGGCGTCTCCGGGCGGAGTGGCGAGTCGAGCCGAGCCGCGCGAGGCCCAGTGACCGACATTCTCCTTTCCGTTCTTCCTGATCCTCAACGGGACGAATCATCCGGGACTTGCGTCAACCTCCGATCGAACACTGGATCCGTATTCTCATCCGAAGTGTCAGCGACCCGCAGAGGAATCGAAGTATAATTACTCCATTGCTATAGAAAAAGAAATGAACGTCTGTATAACTTAAAAAATTAAGCGGAACGTCAGGAGGTTATTAAAATTTTCGCGACTCCGATCGCTGGACCCACGCGAAGGTGTAGCGTATAGGATATAATAGGGAACTTTTTATTAACGATTCGGAGACTTTTGCAACCTGGGCGTTGAAAGTTCCTCCTCCACGTTTGAAATGGTTAAAATGCATTCCAAACCGATCCCGTTGGTCCCGATCCGGTTCCAGTGACCGTCCCCATTCCGACTCATCTTAAACTTCATTCATCCTGGACCGGCGCCATTTGCGTCTAACCATGCTCATGCATCTCGTTATTCATATAAATTCCTCCCCATCGGATCCAAACCGCCGATTCGCGGAACAACTCGGGAGCCCTGCTCGACCCAGGAGTTGCCGATTCCCCGTGACGATCGTCGGCTTTAATCACGAGTCGCCGTCCCGAGGTGCGCGGGTGCAGTCCGGATCGATAAACAATTTTCCCGTGATTTAGTTAGAACGCCGCGCGGGAAACGTAATTACCGTTAATTGCAATTACGGTTGCGCTCCATTCACTGGGTGGCATATTGAAAATTTCACGGCGCCCTGCGCTACGAACGCGGTTACTACGGAAGCTCGACCGAAGCTAAAGGACGCCAGAGGTTACCAAAGGGCACGGCGTGGATGGGAACGATCTGGAGCTATCACGAATCTATGAAGAAAAGGACGTGGGGTGTCCCTACGCAGATGACGCAGGCGTAGCGGCGGATATCCCCGAATTCTTCGCCCAAGCAGTGGAGAAATTTTCGAGACGCCACCACCCTGGGGCGGAGTTCCACTTTTTATTAGAACCATCAGTAGACCGCGTTCCCGATTTGCCGGTTATCCAGACGTTTAACCGGATGCCGGAGAATTCCGTGCCACGACGCAAAGGACTGCCTTCGGAAGAAACTACCTTCCGTTAATATATTTAAGTTAGACTAAGCATTCTGCTCGTGGGAATATCTAGCGGAATTATATCAAAACCAGGCTTTAAGGAACATGTAGAGTGGCGATGTAGATCCGTCTCGGAGCATGCCGGGACGCCGAAGATGCATCATTCGGCTCGTTTCCTCCTTTTCTTTTCGGCCGGGTGTAGGCCGGTAGGACACGGCCGACGTCATCCGGAGGTGGATGCCCCCGGACACGGCGACCGTGTAGAAAGTGCGACCCGGCACACGGAAGAGCACGCACACGCCCGCCGCTCGGTCCTCACTTCGGCGCGAGCGGTCGCGCGTGCCGGATCGTCCGGACCGTCCGGATCATCTCCAACTCCTAGAACCGGGAATTCTAAAGGCGTGGATCCTCTGGACCAGCCGGCGCCGTTCGTCTGTAACTTTGTTACGTGAGAGCAAGCCGATAACCGAATCCAACCAGTCCAACCGAATCCTCGCTGGCCGGCTGCACCGGCTCGGTTTCGTGCCCATGGAAGTGTACTTCCTGCTTCCGCTCCAGATTCCTTTGTTTGATCGACCCTTGCAAATATCCCTTTATCGGATCTCCGTTGGCTGATTTCCGCATGCTGGAAGTTTGCGTTTGCGTATCGCTCGATTCCGAACGAAATTTAAATTTAGGGAGGTTAAGGCTTAATTTAATCATAAATAAATTTAATCAATAATCGAATCACAATCAATTATAGTTGCGACTATCGCAAATTGCAAATGGAGTTGCCGAACTCGCGATCAAAGTGGATCGTGACTCTTGCAACGACGTTGTAGGCCGTATGCAAATTTTCAAGATACAGGGCAATGTGTGCCACTTACGGCCATCGACCGTTGGTTTATACAACCTGGACAATTGACACCTTTATATTGTTATGCTAAAAATAAGCACAGGAAGCTGCGCGATCGTGGGAATTCGACGTAGAAAATAATCGCCAAGAATGGATACAGCCAACTACATTCATAATTTCTTGTAACCTTATTCACTTACCCTCCTCGGCACCAATTTACTTTTCATTGCTTAATCATTGGTTGCTAAATGCACTGCAATTTTTAAACTTAGAAAATATTTATAAGAATTATTTAATCACGGACCTAGAGTACCAAAGCTCTATGAAACTTATTTTTACATTTTCACGGTACAGATGAAATGTGTTAAAAGATGTATTATTCCATGTAATGTTTCAAACGCGTTCACCGTCAGTTCGACTTACTTGGAATGGTATATACGATTAGTTAATTGCGGTCTAAATAAATGTGGTGGAACATTTACGTTATTAACCCAAGATTAACTTAGACGTTAACTTTAACCTACGGTTAGGTAATTAATTTAATCGAGGTTGCTGGAAGCGGGATTAATAAAATGGTTTGAATTTCGCGCGACTATGTGCACGCATTAAGCTGCCATATTGAGTCAACAGCCGTGTTGAATTTAACGCAACATGTGCTGCCCCCTGGTGGTAGCTCGTGAGCAATCTCCCAACTCATCTCTGGCAAAGAATACAGATGTCTCCACCTCTGTATTCTTTGCTTCAGTGTTCCAGATTTTTCGATAGAGGGTCAAAAGGGTTTCCCAGAAAATTTGTTGCTATTCGCAAGCGATTTAAATTAACGAAGGTATGTAAACACTTGTATCGTTAATATTATTTTTCACGCATTTTTCTCCAATTGCTACCTTAACTGTTCCTTGTTTTTTAAATATTGTTCTTCCGATTTTAGGCAAGATGAAGGCATTCTGTCCGCTGCGGTTACTCATGAGAAACATAAACAAACCAAAATGCAATTTCCATACCTCGCGAGCGTTGTTAGAATTCTATGAATCAGATAGGAAAGGTGGTTATCCCCATATTCCCAGCAAAGTTTCGGAAAAGAAAAGTATCATAAAAAACATTATAGAAGGATGCCAACGATTTTGTTATGAAATGAAAGTATTATCTAAAGAGGTAAGGGAAGCATTGCGAGCGGACCCAGTACTTGCCTATAGACATAATGAAGTCGACGTTGAGTGGAGATTTGATGGAGATCCTTCAAGACTCGAAGATTGGATTGTCACATGCGACAGTGAATATGCAGAAGGTTTCTCATCTTGCAGGTAAAACTAGGCCTAGACATAAGCGGTATAAAGGTAAATGAGTGAAACGTCATTTGATTTATGATATTTGCAGTTTGCAATTGTCTCCCAGAGGTACTGGCATATTTTCTGGAATTTTGGATACCAGAGTACCTAAAGATGGAAAGTTATCCCGTGCCGGTTACTGCAACATTACCACAGCACGTAGACAGATATCGTTTCGACGTGACACTCCTCTCGACTGGACGCAGTACTCTCACCTAATATTACGTGTGCGAGGTGATGGGCGAAACTACTTAATAAACTTAGCAACTGCTGGTATGTTTGATATTTTCTGGAACGATGTACATCATTATGTACTTCATACACAAGGAGGCCCTTACTGGCAGTATGTTAAAATACCGTTTTCAAAATTCTACTTAGCAAGTAAAGGAAGAATTCAAGACATTCAGTATAACATACCATTAGACCAAGTCTGGTCCATAGGTTTTTCATTGGCAGATCAAATTTCAGGACCATTTAAATTAGAAATAGATTATATAGGTGTTGAATACGATGCGTTACACAACGAAGAGTTTGCATATGAAACATACAAAGTTGAAAAGTTCATAACTTAAAGGGTCGACTCCAAGTTTCAATTCATTGAGAAGAAATTAGCACATAGATTGCGCTATTTAGGGATACTCTGTAAATAAAGGAAGATTCAAGTACAAACTCTGTATCATTTGTATATATTACATAAAGGTTTTAAAAATATATATATCTTAGCAGCAGTGTGACGCCGCAGGATCAACAAATCTGTACACACATAAATCATGACGGTAGTTTCTTCAGACTTCACAGTGGCGATGAACAAGTATCTCTTAGGGTAATGGTCATGGAGAGATTTTCTTTTTCCTCAGTAACTTATAAGTGTCCTTTGATACTAAATAGCTGAAACCACCAGCCAGAGTTGTTACTGCTGTTAGATAACATAACCCTTCTAAAATGGGATGATTTACAAAATGAAACACAGGAGCAGCCAAAGTACTTGCAATTAATGCTAATTGCACGCCTGTGTTTAACTTGCTGACAAGGGTGGGTGCCAATTGCACGGTTGCATGAGTCGGGTCAAAATACCTTGCCAGTGTTATCTGAAGAAAACGTTCGGTTTTAGTATGATTATTCCTGGTAGGAAAAAATCAAAAGGGAGAGAAAAATAATCTGATGCAATAGAGGTTATACTAACAGGGGGAGGCAATGAACGATATCTGATATACGAAGCTCCAGCAATCAATAGAACGTCTCGAACAAGAATCAGACATGTGAGTGGTATAGGTATAAGTCCTACCCATGCCAAAGATAGAAACAGAGTTCCTACAAGCAACTTGTCAGCAACTGGATCCAGAAAGCTTCCAAGTTTGGATGCCTGCGAAGACCAAGTGCGAGCGATCCATCCATCTGCAAAATCGCTCAGGCCTGCGAATCCAAGCAGCCACAATGCCACCTGTGGTACAATTCAATGATCGTACATGTTTAATGTTGCTAAATGAATTACATCCAAGACATGTTAGAAAACGATGGGACTTTCATTACAAAAAATATGTATAAGTACTATGTAGGCAAATCACCTGATAATCTTGGGAGAGGATGAAATAACTTAGGCAAGGTGTACTTATTATGCGTCCTATGCAAAGAAAATTCGGCACTGTCCAAATGTTTTCTCTTTCGATAATCTCTTCTACTTTTTCTTTGGTTTGCTTGAAATCGCGAATTAATTTTGCCTTAAAAGCTTTCCCCCGGGCAGCACGATCTTGCATATCGATTTTTTTCCTCTGGAAATGATCTCCATCTCCAATGGAGTAAGGCCTTAGTCTTATCAGACTCAGACATCTTTGCAGCAGACGTTTGTTCACAATTTGAAAATGTCTGAATTGTATTAATAGTGAGTAACTCATACTTATTTACTTCTGCAATTGAAGCAACATATCTATATAAGATCCTAAGTAAAAACTTGCATAGTTTTTCCTCCTTCATTGCACTTTAGCATTGCGCTCTTATAAGCGAAAGGTATCTTTTTAAATTGGATTTAAATTTCTAAGCCGCTAAAATGCGCACTTCCAAGTATAAATCAAGAATTAAAACGAGATATGCTTCGAAGACTTACCGTTACTTATTACCTTGATATTATTTACACTTTTACGACAACTTCTGTCATATTCACGTATTGCACTCACTGACAATTTAATACATAATTTAATGCCCTTCGTGGCATTAAAATTGTGTTGAGTTTAATTACGTCCATTTTAATTTATATCCGTCATGCAAACCATGTCGTCAGGTGATTTATAGGTATATTCCCATATATGTGTCCATAACGTACACTTCCGTTACAATCTGTACGTAAAATCATATTTTTATCTAGCATTGAACTCTATACATATATGCCTTGTATCTAATTAGTGTATTTTCAAAGTGCACTTCTCACGTCTTCTTCTTCTCGGTGGAACAGCTTGAAGGAACACTATTGTCAGATACATAAATCAACAATTAACAATTTATAATACAGTTTTTCTCCAATTTATCTACATATCGAAGTCAATAAACTCCATTTCTAACTTCACCGGCTGAACGACATCGGCATTGAAATAATATGCACGTATTACATGCGGCATGAATGAATAAAACCACTGAATTGGTACTCATCAAGAAGTGCAACCTCATTGAGGACTGTAACTTTCGACGCCGTTTTTATTGGAAATTGTAAAACTCGAATAATGTTTCCAGATGAAGTTCATATCTGTGCTGCCCTCTGGTATCGTACATTAGCTTTCTCCGTTTTTTGCTCCCAATTTACGGATAAAATAAATAAGGTACGTGAAGGGTAAAATCAAAGTCTGCCCGTGAGAAATCTCCCAGCTCATCTCTGTTGAACTCTTAACTCAGCTTAATCTTAAGAGCCGCCCATCGTTAAATCTGAGAACATGAGCTCCAAATACGATGGAAATGTGCACTAAGTGCAGAAGTTGAGTTAACCCGACCAAACTTATTTCCTGTTGTACAGAAGTTGACTAGCTTTCAGCAGCCAATCAGAATATTTCATTTTTACGTCTACGACGCCGTGGAGAGGATGAAATTTTGATAAAAATGAGTCTTTCCGGTATAACCTCTGTGAACCTCCGGTATAACCTAACAACATGAGCCTTTTTGTTGTAAATACGTAAGTTGCAGTAATAATTATGTTATTTAGCCAATTTTACAATAAAAATATTTGTTATCAGTCCTCATGATAATTATTTGTCAATGGTAAATTAGGTCGTTGTATGTAAATAATTAAAATGCACGACAGTATTTATTCTTGCATGTGTGATAAATGTTAAATGTTATTATTTAATGGGCATATAACTGTTTGAAATAGGTATCAAGGGGAAGAACAGGTACAATCAGAAACGTCGAATCATCTTTCTACATTATTACAAAAAATTGAAGAGCGTAAAAAACGTAGATCTGGTGCTAAGGAAAATACATTGGATGTTAAAAGCAATGGGCAAGTCGATATTCCGACACCTGCAAAAAAAAGGAGGATAAAAAATGCTTTAAGAAAAAAGAATTCCAATATTACAAATAAAAAAATTGTGCCCACTTCCGATCAATTGATAGCACCGAGTAACGAGAAGGATGTTAGGCCTAAAGATTCACATAAATTTGTAGTTTTGGGTTCTGAATCTCATAAAAAACAGCGAGCAGTTAAAAGGATCCTTCCAGATTGGTTAGCCCATCCTGAAGTTATATCTACCGATTTAAATAGTGGGCCTGATTTGACCGAACTAACAACGATTTTGGATGATAATTTAATTAAAGTTCTCAAAAAGAATGGAATAAAAAAATTATTTCCAGTCCAACATAAGGTGATAACATGGCTTAATAAGAGTAATAAGGAACGAACGATGGGGTGGTGGCCACGCGATGTATGTGTCTCTGCACCAACAGGCAGTGGTATGAAAAAATGAAATATATCTTTTCTGGTAAATGCTTCTTATGTCTTTATAAAATAATTAGCAAGGCTAATATTTCTCCTGTTTTAGGTAAGACTTTGGCTTACGTTCTGCCAATTGTTCAAGCCTTGCAAACGAGATTGGTGCAAAAGGTGCGCTGTTTAGTAGTATTACCTGTGAAAGAGTTAGCAACGCAAGTTTACAAGGTGATAAGTAAATACTTAGCGCATACTAATTTAAATGTCACCTTATTATCAGGTGTATTAACCTTCAAACAGGAGCAGAGTAACCTTGTCAGAAAAAGTTTGTATTTATTGTCGTACTAATGATTTTACCTATTGTTTTGAGACAGTAAAAAGTCTAATTACTTGCTTTCATTTTCAGCTGAGAATGGGGAGTATATCAGCCGGGTTGACATAGTTGTTGCAACTCCTGGACACTTAATAGATCATATCGAAAAGACTGTTGGTTTCTCATTGGATGCTTTAAGATTTCTTGTTATCGATGAAGCAGATCGTGCAACGGATTGGCTGCAACATCTGCCGCCTCATTGTTTGCATGCTCCGCCTCTTACTACATCAAATGTCTTCTCCAGGTAGCTATTTTTTTTTCTTTTCAAACTGCCGTAAATCGAGTAATTGCAATGAAAATTATTAATAAAATAATTAATAGAGTGCATTATGTTATACAGTTCGTCGATCCCAACGCAGAAATTACTCTTCAGTGCAACCTTATCTCAAGACCCTGAGAAGATCAGTCGTCTAGGTCTATTCCAGCCTATACTGTTCACATCGGTCATATCCGATAAGGATGAAGACGTAAACTTAGACAAGGAAGTTGGAAACTTCATTGGACGATACACTGTTCCAGACGAGTTAACAGAACGTGTCATTGAATGTTCTGCCACACACAAACCGCTTGTTCTTCTCCATCTACTGAGTAAAAGTGACCCTTCGGAAAGATCATTAGTATTCACTAATTCTGGAAAAATGGCCCATCGTTTGACAATTCTGCTTCGGTCATTCCTGAAAGAAGAGAACATCTCAGTGGGAGAACTATCAGCTAATTTCTCTCCGAAGCAGAGGGAAGCAGTTCTGAAGAGTTTTGCCGATGGGAACATTCAAGTGTACGTATGCATAGTGAACAATTACATTTCATTCTGAGCAAGATACTTATTTGAGAGGACTTTAAATACATCCAACGGAGGGGGTTTAAAATACATTCAACGGGCAGCATTTTCAGAGTCTCCTTTCCTTACACTCTTGTTTAATGTTTCAAATTATTTCCACATTTTTACAGGTTAGTCAGCTCCGATGCCCTGGCTAGGGGTGTGGATATTCCAGGAATTAAGCTGGTAGTTTCCTACGATCTTCCAAAGTACATCGAGGGGTATATTCACAGAGCAGGGAGAACTGGACGAGCGGGAACACCCGGAACAGCAATTTCTGTGCTTACTCCTAATCAAGTAGGGGCATTCAATAAAATGTTAAAAAGTGCGCGCAAAACTACACCTAAATTTGAGAAACTGGAGTTGGAAGCTCTAGCAGAATCCATCGATTACGAGAAGCACTTGGAGATGCTGAAGGACACCTTACAGAAGGAACAATCGGAGTACTTGGAACGAAGAAAAGCGATTAAGAGGAAACGCTAACAGAATTTCTTAACACTAAATGATTGTTGCGAGAAATATTTCTAAGGCTCAATGAACAATTTCTATGACACCGAATTATCATAGTTAAATCCCCTTATCTGTATGGAATGACTCGAGTCATTCATTAGGCGGAGACTATCACGAACTACGTGCGTGTAAAACTCGATCGCACGTTATTCTTTAATTTTCATTAGCGATCATGTACACTAGTTCTATTCCCTACATGGAAAATACTGATAATCTGAGTCCCTAACTAGGGTGGTCTATCAGATAGTTCCTTTCATCAATTAAAGATGCAGTCAATAACGCGTCGTTTATTGACTACATCTTTAATTGATGAAAGAATTACTGAAAATGAGTGCGGATGTCAGGGGAACATTAAACAGGGAGTTATTTCCTGACTGTGAGAGTAAGGTGTACTTCTCGGTTTTGGATGTGCATTTTACAGCAAAACGTTTCACGGTGGGCCGAGCAAAAGCTCGTTCCGACATCCGGGGGCAATGTTACACGAAATATAATGAATGTCCGCCGGGAGCAAGAGAGGCAGTGCCAATTACGGTCTAATTGCAGCGACGGGACATTTAGCCGGAGTTTCGAAGTACATACTCGGAAGGGGGAACATGTACATTTTAGAGAAGAGCCAGTCATTAACTCTTCATTTCGACTTCCGGGCCCAAATTTTAATCCCCTACATGTGATATATAATTTTCAACACATGATTACGAAGGTCTTGAAGCATATAGAATTTAATGTTTAAATAATGTAATAAAGAAAAAAGAATCATTTCTTTTTTTTGCTTGTCCAGGATAAACAAAAAATGTCATAAGTTCAGGACCTCCATAATCACGCGTTAGTTTCAAATTATTCGTTGCACCTGTTTTGGAGAAAAGTTTCATACGTATGTTGACTTTTTGGTACATATGTATAGCCTCATATATATATATATATATATATATATGAGGCTTTCGCAACACCTTAAGAGCGCCTCGCTCCTTTCCCTTTGCTCTTATCCTTTTCTCTTAATTGCGGTTCCTCGAAGTTTCGTTTCAATTGCAGTCGCTTCTCTGAGGGGTACGGGGGGGCAGAATTCCTTCTGAAATTTTAAAGAGGCAACGGCACAACCGGCTGTTAATGCTGCGAACGAAACAACGGGCGAAACAGGAGCCGGCCGGGAAAGAAAAAGTGCAAGAGTGCACCGAACGAGAGGCGAAAAAGAGAACACGGTCACCCACCGTGACACCCTCGTATTTCGTGAATCTTCGCCTCGCATCCGCGATATTCTGACGACCTGGTGACTAACCATGACGTCTATGGGTGTTGAGTTTCTCAGGAAATCGCCGGGCCTCTGCATGCTCCTCTTGCACGTCCGGCCGCGAACATAACCGGATGAACCGAGAGAAGAGAAGCACTTAAAAAAAAATAGTGTCAATCAAACCGAAGAGATATATATCGTGTTAATTCAAAGAATATCAATTATACCGAGCTGAGATTAATATTTCTTCGGTCGAGGGAATTTTTTCTTCTCTCGGGGTAAGAACTGGTCGGGGGTGCGGACCACGCCACGTTGGTTCCAGTCCAAGATAAATAAATAAATTTTCGATGAAAAAGAGAAACAACGAAATTTCGAGACTTTCAGGGCCTACTTCAGGGCCTCCGCATTCGCGTGGTAAAATTTGAAATTAATCGGTACACCAATTCGGGTGTTAAGATTAATTTCCGACGATTTGACTTCTCAGACATATGTATAGGCTGACTCTTACGTATCACCTCGAGCAATGAACGAAATTGATTGTAGCATTTAATGCAGGGCCACGCACCGTTGAATATCTCGTCCGTCCATCGGGGTAAAAATTCCGGAGATCAGAAATTAGCGCGGCACTTCCTTTTCGAGGGATCCCGAGGAAAGGGGGGGAAAAGAAAGAGAAGAAAAAAATAAAGGAGAGAGAAGCGAAAAGAGATCGCCGCGTCTCACGGTGCACTTTTTCTCCCAGAAGGAGGTTCGGGACGCGGCCTGGCGCGACGTTCCCGAAAGTCCCTCGGTCACGGTCCCGAGGGGAGTCATCGGGAGAAGTGACGAGGAACCACCGGAATCACGGTCCCCGAAAGACGAGGAAGTAAAAGCTGAGCGTAGCCCTGCATTTAGGCTGCCGCCCGTTTCCGAGCAAATTGCTGAGTTACGGGAACCAAGGGAGCTTAATGAGATGCGAATTAACCGAGAAACGAGGCTGCGCCAGTGAATAATATTCGTACTTCCTGCCTGGGGTTTTCGGCGATGTCTTTTTTAAATCCCAACCGGTGGAACGCAGAACGCCCCCTCGACGTGGCCGGTGCACTCTCGGCGGAAGTGCACTCTCAAGCCGAAACGGTAAATTTTAGTGCCGATCCGTCCAGGGACCCCGGGAAGAGGGCAAGACCCGGTACCAAGGCATGCCGGGCCCTTCTGGCCACCTTCCCAAAGGAAACAATGAGGAAAGGAACGGCAACCGTTCGTTCGCTTCCACCTTATCAATTTGACAAGGGTCACGGTCCTATCCGATGTGTCCATACTTACAATCATACCGAAGTATACTAACCGAGGAAAAGCGTTCCTCGAGTAGTCCCAAGGAGACATACCTTCTTAATTAAATAATAGAATAAAAATAAAAGGACAATTGTCAGGCACGAAGACCCTGAAATCAAGGCTCGTCCTTCGAGGAGGAAATTTTAACGTCGTTAGGTGCGAACATTCGCGGTAGGGGTTGGAAAAAATTGCCACATCGAGGAATGCTTTTTCAAAGCTAGTAGGAATTCTCCTGTCACCTAATGTCGGGGAAGGGAGTAATTCACGTCTTCGCCATTTCCCATGCTCGGTTTAAATTCAACCTCTGGAGATACCATCGGGGGAATCCTTGACCGAGCCGGCCAAGGGATCGGAATTTAACGCGGAAAGGGGATCGGGTTTAATATTTTATTTCGAGGCGTGCTCGGTCTTCACCGAGGCACACTTAGAAATGCAAATCGCGCAGTGGAGCATAAGTCAAGATGCATGTCGAGCCCCACGGAGCATGCCATCCAGTTCGGAGGCACTTCCGCCTCTTCAAAACACCATAATGCACGCAGGCCGCGTTTACGTGTAATTACAATCGCCCTTCCTCCTAAATGCCTTGTTGTAGCCGCTCCGTAATGAGCATCGAGATCGTCGGTGATACAGCCGCGAGTTTTACTCCTCCATTATGTTTTTCACGCATCCGCGTCACTGCCTTTCAACGGATTAGATTTATTGCGATACTGGCCGTCCTCGTGTGCCTGCTAATTGCGATTTTTCATCGTCATTATGGCCCGTCTCAGAGTTAGAACTTGCTCGAGACGCCACGCCTCTCGCCGACGTCCGATACCGGCCTCGTTATGTGAAATCTTGACTTTTAATAGTTTACTATCTGCTAAGAAAAGAGAATTTGATATCGCCGGTACATTATGAATCAGCGGATGGACAATTACTGGACGTGATCATTTCAGAAATGAAATGCCCATGCGTTTACAAGTACCACGTGCCCTTTTTTTTTTTTTAATATGTGAGGCCTTAAAAAAAAATGTTATACCATTGGGATATTTATCGTCGTCGACAATCCAACTTTTAGTTCGCTCCTCGCATTAATCTTATGCATTTATCCCACTTGCCAAGAGTAATTAGTAATTCTGGAAAGTCTCATGGCCGGCGTAAAGATCCCTATTATCCGGCGATAACTCGGGGTACTAATCACGGTAATTAAACCCTCGTGTAGAAAAATATATGACACGTCGATTGACCCATTTCCGTGCATCGTTTAGGCCGGGGTGAGTCATTGGCATCCGATGGCTGACCACTCGAAAGAAGCCGTAAACCAAGAACCTGAGTCAACCAAACGTAATTCAGCAACCTGGAGCTCCAGCCGGAGAATGCAACGCTACTTTCGTCCTGAAAGCTCGCTCTGGCGTTTATGTCACCGTAACTCAGGATTCAAACTGATTGAGCAGAAAGTTAACGCTGCATTCAGCTCGACTTAATCACCGGCATTGGTGGCGTTCGATTAATCGCAATCGGCGATGCCGAGAGAGAAAGCGCGTGTCTACGTGGCCGCGAAATGACGGAAACGGGTCTCGACTATTAGGAATTCCGCCTAGAAATATAAATCTTCTTTAATTTCTCCTCTTTATCGCCGAAAATCTAGAGAAAAGTGAGCCCCTGATGCCCCGCAACACTTCGGACACCGACGAGCGACGGGTAATCGGGTTTCAGGGGCGCGGATAAAAAATACTTATAACGGTGACAAAAAGTAATAAAAAACATTTTATCCGAAGAATTGTCCAATTCTGCTCCGCAGGAGATGATATAAATAATTTGTTCAATGGTGGTATGATGCGATTAGTGATTTCGTTAAACTATACCGTGTTTTGAAGTTGTGGATCCTTCTCAAAAATGTATGAAAAATGCGCACTTTAGGCAAGAACGAAAATGACGCGGTGATTAAATTCAATTATTTTCATGCAGGTATTATCTTTCGTTTTTCGTGGTTTCTTATTTTTTCTGGAAATGTCTCGGATGAAATGTCACGCCGAATCCTGGAAATGAATCTCCGAATCCCTGAGGTATTCGCGCGTGAAATAACCTTCACTTATGATCGCAGTACAGGGGGAAAGAGGGGAATCTTTGCTCATCCGACAGGAATTCATAAAGGAATGCGGACGGCAAATTTGTACAGTGCATTCCCGAGGTCGGACCTCGTGTGTTTGATTAATGTTTGGATTCCGGAGTAGAGCTATTTATAATAATGAGGTCTAATGATATCTCGGCGATGTCATTATTTCCACCGAAGCTCGCAAGGATGGGTCTTAATAATGTCTTGACAATTTTTTTTAGAAGCACATGTACAGTGACCTACGTATTATTTAATATATTTCCCTCTCCTCGAACGCGATATTACTAGGATATGAAATAATGTCTTCGAGCATTAGAAATCTTGTCTCCTCTTATCAATTTGCAGGATTAATTAAATACAACCGTAATCTTCCGGGGAACCAGTTGGACCACATTGCGACTCTAATTGAGTACTCGACAC